TATTTATTTCAAATGGCAGGCACTTTGATAGTTACCATTAGTCCTCTAGTTGACTTCGGGCTTCACAGAAGGGAGGGACATTAAAGTGAGAAAAATTCAACAGGGGAAAAGAAGACCGATTCACAGGTGTAAAAGACAGACACGAAGACAGAGAAAAGGCTAGATGAGTACTGTGGAAGGGGTCGAATATGACATACAGTGGGGTCATGGTAGTTTGAAGTCAGAGGTCAACTGCCAGTTAATAGACTTTTTTGCCGTATGAGTATACGTTGCCCAGGGTGCACCACGTGGAGGTAAGTCTATCGCACACCAAACCGGCATTGAAGTTGACGTTGATATCGAGGATGGCGTTATGAAATGTGGAGTTTCAGTCACCCAAGCTTTTTATCATTACTGTATCATCTTTATTTCAATATTTAAAAATATTTACTTGATCCTGAAAAATGCACGCATTCACAGTAAATCTGATTTCATCTTTGGTAAGAAAAATGAAATTCCCCCATATATCTGGAATGCTTCACGTTTGATATCTTCTAGTGACTGAAATGTGTGGGAGTATTCGAATTTTATTAACGAACTGAGTGTGAATTTGAAACCTTATTTAAGCAGCAATGAACGTTAGGGCTATTAAGGCTGATGGAAAATATTAGCGAAAGGCAACCGTTTGAAATAGATCAAAATAGGAGTCGAAGCACACACACTAGCCCCTTCTATTGTTTGGTTTCCACCTGAAAGTATAACTTATTATTGGAAAATGAAGAAATGGAAACTAGATTAGATCGATTACTTGACCATCCCATTTTGCCCATAATATGGTACTTAGCAAAAAGTCAATAACAGAATGGGAATTTGAAGTTAGCCAAGAAAGTAATCATGACTGAGATTCAAACTTAAATAATCTACCACTGATCTGAGCGGAAAGCCTGATGAACTAATGCGAGGTATTTGGTATAAATATCGCTGATGTCTAATGTTAGGAATTGCACCATTTCGAGCAATGCAATACACTTTAGATATCGATTTTAGCATTCTGAGACAGGTAGACGGCTTTGCAGAATTCTAATCAATAATTAGTTAAAGCAATTTAATTGTTGAGCTAACTTAAAATGATGTCAATTAAATAAATGTGGAAGGTGCCTCTACTTCATCGCTTCGTTGATTGTCTGACAGACAAAGGGTATAAAACAAGAACTAAATTCGATTTTACTAGTTACCAAATACCAACTCCCAATTAAAGCAGTATTTCACCAATAATAGATGTTCTGTTTTGATATAGACTTTGGGAACAAATAAGTACGTAAAAATGAACGTGTCCGCGAATTTTAACCACTGGCCCTTGAAACTAAAGAAGCGCATAAGTTGCACTCTTGGTGCTTTTGCAATTGAAATAGGATTTATATTTTTTCAAATTCGTCTATTGAAGTTTACAGAGCAACCAAAATTAACCAGTGGGCCCAAGAGCTAGAAAAAGCTCAAAAGTGCAGCGCACTAATCAGCTTTCAATATTTGTGCAGAATACCGTCAACCGTACTTATAATTGTTGGGCATCTCCATCCAGCTGCAACAGATATCTTTTATATTCCCACTTATTTGGATGTCGCCTGTCAAATGTTGGGGAAAATTTATGCCGTAGTCCCCTCTGGTATTGACCACCTATCTTTTCCAAAATTTCTGAGACTTCGTACTTGATAAAACCCTTCAACGAACAATCTTCTTTTTTACCCCCCCCCCCCCCCCCTCCANAAATTTTTTTTTTTCCCCCCCCCCCCCCCACTTCAACCTCTGTATTGTACTATGGCAACGACAACAAGGAATCGATCTGAAAAGTCCCAGATAGGCTCTGTAAAGTTATCTGCCAAAATCTCATCATAAACTAACGAAAACGAAATATAATAAGGCCTAGATAATCTACTTTGTCAGAATGTCCCAATGGACACTCCTATCCCGCAGAATTCGACTTTTAGAACCTAACAGACTCCATAGGCTTGGTCTGATATTCAAACAACAATCGATAGATTCTGCTATATAAGATTAGACAATCCAGGTGAACCTAATCTCCTTCCAGGCTGTGAATAGAAAACAAATAAAATGCCGATTAAATAGATAATTAAGAAGATTGAAGTTCCGCTCGCCTTAACCAAACCAACCGTGAAGTTAACGTCCTTTGGCTGAATTAAAAAATAACAGTCAGAGGAACCAGCAATTTTATTACAAACACCAGAAAAAACAGAAACGCAGCAAACAAGACAGGATTATTCGGCCTCCACTTTATTCTAAACTTAGCTCTAAACCGGAAAACCTCAGTATGTTCTCCGTTGAGTTGCATTGTACCATCGAACCACAATGCATCAAGCGCATTTCCGCCGTCTTCACCCATCCAAGAGCACCTCGAACAACATTCAACAGCTCTACAACATCAGAAACTAGACGCTTTCCATGAGCATCCACAAGACGCACATCAATACTTTCACCCGTCTTTGAACACCGAACCTTCAAGGAAGGACTCTGACTACCACGTTCAGGACTATTTGCACTTGAATTTGACTGAGCTTTGACTTGTTTTTGATTTGCTGGTGACTTTGAGTTGGAACATTTTGTCAACCGATGGAAGATCGTGACGCTTAAGTCGTCTGGTGGTATCTGCAAAATGAAAAAAGGTGGGAAAAAAAAGCGACGATTTAGTGTCCGATTAGCTGGACTGTGGACAAGGAAAATGCTTGGCGGCCTGGCGCAGTGTATTAATATGTGCTCCAGTGAAAACATCTCCTGGGTAAGTATTGTGTAGTTCACAATACGTTGCAGACCTAATTATACTGTATCCTTCAATTATGCTCCAATCAATCTCTTTTAAATGCTTAAAAGAAAGACTAACCGTGGTTGCTTCACTTATGACCAATTCTCCAAGCCTTTCGCCTCTGGCCTCAGCATCCACCTTGGCAGTTGTTAAAGCTCCTGAATCATCATTTGCATCGGCACAACAGGCAATTGGCTGCTTTACTGTCGCATCTATCAACATTGCATGCGTAGAGAGTGCTTTGCGTAGGGACTCAGAAGTTGTGGAAATCACAACCTGGATGGTGTTTTCAGGCAGCAAATTACCCTTCTTCCGAGCTCGTTGAATTCGATTAATAAGTTCCCGTGCGAGCCGCTCTTCTACCAATTCAGCATCAGGTCGCACGTCAAGGAGTACCAAGATACGACCCAAACCGTCGGGGACATCCCACGCCTGGGCTTCCCAATGTGGTCCGTCTTCTGGCTTTTCTTTTGCCTTCACGGGTGACGCTGTTGCCAACCTTCCGGTTTTCTTCAATTTGCCCTTTGCAGCTTTCAGGAGGGAATTTTCCTCACACGAATTGGATTCGCGGGAGTCTCCCACAACATAGTCAATCGTCACATCATCTCCGGACAAGAGTTCATCTTCTAAAGTCATTTCTCCTTTCTAGATTAGAAGACAAAACAAGTCAAACTGAAATACAAAAATGAAACCATGAGCAGTAAAGACCTAGTCAAACTCACCACTAGGTATTGTTCCAGAGCAGATTGAGATAGAGCCGATAATGCATTGCTGATTGGTTTGAACGCTCCACGAAGACGTGGGCCAGCAGTTGCTGGATTGAGTCGAGCCCTGAGACGCACTCCATAAGCTGCCTTGTCCGAGGTGACAGTCAGCTGACGAACATTCAGCTCTTCTCGGACGTAGTTAGCCAGACCATCTGAACCATCTTTTCCGAGTGCGTCCACAACGTCAGTGTCCGGGGGATGAATTAGAACGGCCGAACGAAGAGGAGCCTTGAGAGGTAGTTCAAGACGTGTGCGAATACTACGACCTGCTTCCACGGCAGCTTGCATAAAAGCTACACGAGCCTCCAAGGCAGAATCAACAACATCAGTTGTGGCGGCATTGTCTTTGTCCAACTCAGCCGGGTACCACAAGTTGATCAGATAGTGTAGAGACACAGGTGCTCCATGTTCATCCACAGCACTAGGCACTTCGTTAATATTTTCTACAAGGCAAAAAAGGATGACTTTGAATGGCGTATACGAACGTAAAGAAACTCATCTAAAGTGAGTAGAATGACGTATTTAAATGAGAGAGACAGCTTAGAGGACAAAATCAAGAAAATAGGAAGTTAGGTCAATCCAACATAAAGATAAATTAGAATCAAAGTGGTCGAGATTTCAATTAAACACCACACCCAAAGGAAACGATGAAATGGTAGTTGATCTTATGAAATACATTAATCAATTTTGGGTTTTAATAGAAAACACCGATAACATAAGCACATAAAAGATATATCATGACTTATTCAGTTCATCCTTCAATAGTTGCCCTATCATTCCACCAATGTAAACTCCAACAAATAATCAAATGCAAAGGAGGTGGTTTAGAGAGAGCCACTAAAACTGACCAATCTTGAAGTTGGAGAAATCGAGCTTAGTTTTGAGACGTTGGAAGATGAACTCAGTGAAGAAGGGAGCGAAAGGAGCCATCATGAAGATAAGTTGAGTGAGAACTTTAACGAGAGTATGGAGGGCGGCAAACCAGTCTTCTTCATCCTCCATCGATTCACCCTTCAATCGACGTCTATTCATTCGAATGTACCAGTTGACGAGGTATTCAATGAAACGCAGAAGACGTGGCACCACAGTATAGAGCCTATAAGCCCGCAATTCCGTATGCACGAAACGTAGAAGTGTAAGGGTGAAAGAAAGTACCCAACGGTCCATCAGGTTGCGAGATTTTGGCCAAATTTCAACAGGAACAATGAAGGATTTTTCATGCGCTCGTTCCCAAGGCTCAATGCCCGACTATCGGGTAATAATAAGAAGGTAAATTAATAATTACTTAAATATATGAATAAAATAGGTATTTTCATAACACTAGCCTTCATGAGGAATCTGAAAGCATTGTACCAAGGGATCAAGACTTCCTTGAGAACATCTCGAACGCCAGATTCAAAGAAACGTAGATTTTGAGCTCGAACAACTGGCGAATTGACGAGGTAGAGACGCAGAGCATCGGCACCATATCTATCAACCACACCTCGAGGGTCCGGGTAATTCTTTTGGCGTTTGCTCATCTTTTGACCATCCCTGTAAAAAGTGATTGGCTTACCTTAAAAGATCGTTTGATCATATCCTTATTAAGTTGCTAAACAAATTTACCTTTGAGTACTTGAAATCCTCTCAAAATTCAATTAAGAGCCTAGCCATTTGGCCACACTTTTACTGACTGGCAATGATTTAATTAGACAACGAACATCACATATGTCTTATGAATTTACCCTACTTCTCAAAATCACGTTTATGTGCTGGTTAGTTAGGTACTAGTCGAATAAAACATTCGCAATTGAGACCCAACAAAAACAATTGAGTTCAGCCGAAGATCGACAGCATCTCGATTAAGTGAAGTGATTGGAAATTTTGGCAAACGATATGATTGTGCTCTAAATTTGAAATATCAAAACAGCTGCTTCAAAAATTCGGGTCCAAACGTTCTAGACAGCAAGCAAGAGACCAGCTTATAAATTTTGGGCTTTGAATCTTAAGATTTTGATTTAACGAGAGATCAGAGCTTTAAGAATAAGGAATGCTATAGAATAAGAATTCAGAATAAACAGAACTTATTTATTTTGATCTAAAATTCGCAATCGTCTTGTACTTAAGGCCTTTTACACTTATGTATGTTTTTTTTACTTTTGAACTAAGTTCTGATGGGCATTATGCGAAAAAGGCACCCAACATAGCTGGTTGAATGAATCCACTTACGAAGCGAGAACAATTCCATTGACAATGAGATTCTTGAAAGGGGGCTGGTCAAAGAGAGCAGTAGAGAGGACAAGGAGAGTGTAGAACCAACCACGAGTTTGATCTACACCTTCTGCAACAAAATCAGCCGGGAAGCCCTTCTTGAAACGCTCCACGTTTTCGAAAGGATAATGAATCTAAGGGAAAAGTTGTACAGTAAAATTCTGATTTCTTAAAGCGAGCTAAACTAGTAGTTGGGGGAAACTAAAGTAAAACTATAATTTGTTTAACTCTCGTTAAAGAAGTCGTGGTCTATCTCTGAATAACCCCACTTTCAGTGGCCAACTCCCCAACACAGAATCTCCGGGTAGACATATTAAGTATTCCATTAGATTTCAAAGCAAAAATCAGTTCCAGAGTACGGCATTGGCCACAGAAAGTTGAGGTTAACAGTGTTGTATGATGATGATTATCGTTGCAAATCAGAATGATCTCCAGCATAAAGTCTACAACAAACCAACCGAGCAACAAAATTTTGACAATTCGAATTATTTTAGCGCCTACATAACTACTGATAGGAAGTCTAATAAGAATAACTAGAGTGAAGATAAACTCAGGGTTGGTCTATAAAGAAGAGTTATAATGTTGCGATATGTGTGGGTAATGTCTACTCATACGGCAAAAGTCTATAAACAAGCAGTTGACTTTAAACTACCACGACCCCACTGTATGTTATATTCCACCACTTCCACAGTACTCACTTTATTTTTTCTCAACCTTTGTGTCTGCCTGTCTCTTTTACATCTGTGAATCACTCTTCTGTTCCTCCCCCCTGGAAAGACCGAAGTCAACTAAAGGGCTAACGATAACTATCATAAAGCCTGCCATTTGATATAAATAAAATGCATGTTAAGACGCGTGTTAGTGCACAAACAATTAGCGGAATGGTCAATGGAAGGGCTGAATCTGGACCACTAGCAGGGGTCGGAGAGTTCGAATTTCTAGACAGGGAGGCTTAATGAAGCTACACCTATTTCCATGAAGTATTACAAAAAAACTACTTCATGGAGAGACTTGGGTTTTTATTGTCACGTGTTTACTGATCAGAGCAATTACAGGATAAAAACACCTTACTAAGCTCAAAACATGAAAAAATAAATGTTCAACATTTTACCTAACAAGCCATTCAAATACGAATTGATACGAAAAATTTATTCAACGGGAAAACCAACCTGGGCATATGGCATAGATCCAGACTCGAACCAACAGTCAAACACCTCAGAGACCCGTTTCAAATCGCCTTTTCCCATCCTTGAAGGAATTGTAATAGGATCAACGCTGAAAAGCGGAAGTGTATCAAATCATCAGTTGAAGAAAGTTGATATATAATAAAACCACATAAGTTGGGGGAAAATAACGTACAATTCCTTGTGAAGATCGGTGACCCGCACTCCAGAAAGACGTTCCAGCTCATCAATGGATCCTACACAGATAACCTCCTCCAGATCATCAGACACCCAGAGGGGAATCGGAGTACCCCAATATCGGTTACGAGAGATGGCCCAATCCCGTGCATCTCGCAACCAATTGGCAAAACGTTTCTCCTTAATAAAATCCGGCACCCAGGATGTTTTGGCGTTATTAGCCAAAAGACGTTCAACTAAACACTCCACTCGAATGAACCAAGTTGGTACAGCCTTGTAAAGCAGTGGTGTGTCCGATCTAAGTGGAATTATTAACACAAATCATTACGCACAACTGCTTACCTCCAACAGAATGGATAAGAATGCTGAATGGTGGACTGCTGCAGAAGACGACCAGCACTTTTGAGATGTTGGCAGATGTTTCTATCAGCATCCTTCACGTACTGATTGACGAAATCACTAACTTCGGAGGTGAATCGACCACTGGCGTCAACCGGACATATCGGTGGCATATCACGCGTTACTATTCCCTCTCGCAAGCAGATCTTGTAATCTTCCTTTGATCACACACAATGACAGAAAAAAAGTTAAAATTCTGACAGAAATGATAATGTCCAAAAAACGAACAAGAAAATAGAGATATTCGTGAAGCTAACCAATTAAAATAGAATTCCTATACTAGAGCTAATGGAGTCTGATGATATTCACAATGCATATGAACGTTCAGTAAAAAATAAGGCGAATGACCTTCAGCATAGGAAACCTTAATTGTTTTGAAAAACCTGAATTGTCATCGACACAATATGCACAGAAGGAACAAAGAAAAAAAAACAGAAGAGTAAATACACCCAGAGCGCAATTTCGGGTTTGGAGAGTGAAATGCGGATTGTTTAAAGTGCTTTTAAACAGCAGGGGAATTAATTCGATTTATCTATTGCACAATTTTGAGTCAAGTTGCCAACTCCTATGGGCGCTTGTCAATTCAAATCCGCAGTTTACTGAACATGTAAATCATGTGGAGAAAAAACAAAGATACAATGGGGAAAAATTATTCTCATAAATAAGAACCAAGACAACCGAGTATTTTTAGGGAGGTTTGGGAAAAACGTATTCAAATGATTATGAAAATAGCCAATACTCAAGCATATGAACACTCCAAAAAGATAAAAGAATAAAAAATTAAACTAGAGCTGAGAATTCATTGGTAGTGGTTGCAGGCATTAGAAGATTACATTGCAGTGTAAATGTGATGCGTACAAAGCCATGCTGCAATAGCGACAACAGTATCAAATCTATTTAGATTACGTTAACACGTAGTTAAGGTGAAATTATACACCGAAAACAGAGACAACTAAAAGCAAGCCCCTAGTGTGCTAGCATTGGAACCGCAATCAACCAAAAAGACAATTCCAAACGATGCACAAAGGTCAACCGTGTCATTTCAAGCAATAAATATCATCTCAGCAAGATTCGGCCATCCATATAACCAATGGCATTATCGAACTCAATCTTCGACATCAGTCTAAGAAAACATACAATCCTATACATTGATGATAGACGGATTTACCTCTCCGAAATAGGGAGCTTGATGGACAATACCAGTACCCGTTTCCTCAGTAACGTAGGAGTCTCCAAGAACGCGGAATGCTCCTCGAGATTGCTTCATCTAGTAGACATAATCAGATGAATTAATATGCTAAGGAGATGAAAAATTAGCAATAGCGGAAAAAGTACTTACTTCAATGAAATAGTCAAACAGCGGCTTATATTTCAGACCGATAAGTTTATCACCCTTCATTCTAAGTAGAGAAAATGTGGGGGTTAAGGTTGAAAATTCCTTATTCTTGCCAAAAGGTTACGTACTTATCAAGAACCTCATAGTCTTCTGGCTTTTTGAAGAACCAAGTGAGACGACACTCCATGAGAGCGAAAACTCGATTATTCCTAGTCTTGTCTAAAAAAAGAAACAAAAAAGGTCAGGAGTTTATCTTGTGGTCAGACGAATATCATGCTATTGGTTACTTATATTAAAATACCTCCGTATAACAAAGATGGATTTAATTTTAAGTCCCAAATTCAAATCCACGGAAGATCTCGATTTCAACTGAATCTCCACACAACAGTCCAAAAATAATTTTATGGAGGTAGCCATTCGCTTCATCCCTCAACTCCTATTTCTAAGACTAGAGATCTGAGCTAACAACAAGGCTAATTCTTGGGGGAATGAACACTAATAAATGTCGAAATTCAATATATGGTTGCCAAAGTATCACCACATAACGCCAGAACACTTCATGAATATCCAGAAACTGTTTCGGCTAGATTTAAATCCGCTATAGCCATAGGAATTCAACAAAATACCTCGAGTCCATAGGAATAAACAAGGTAAAGAACTCCATTTTGATTCTAAGATTAAGAAAAATCAAGTAATGTTTGCAAATCACTATCATCTAGAATAAAATATTCGAGTTCGGAACCAAAATCATTTACAAAGGAAAATGGCTGCATTCGTTCAATACTTTGAACTTTCAAGAACATAATGTAATACAATGCCTGCTTATAGTAGTCATAAAAGGAGTGACATTCGACCGATTTAAGGTAGAAAAAGAGAAAACTTATAGAAAAAATAGACGTAAACACTAACCACATTTAAAGCTGCGGCAAAACAGTAAATCGACAAGAATATCATTTTACGGAAAAGTTATAAATCTGATGCCACATTTCCCGTGAGTACTAGTCAAAAATTTTGAAACTCCTAGTAAAATGAAGAAACATAAACAAATGAAACTACAAAGAACAAAATGGTCTTTAATTATCTTCAATCAAGCTCATAAGACAGTAATCGAGAAAAAATGAGCTAAAGAAATAAGAAAGAAGAGGAATCGTGATGAAAAAAACGTACCTTTAACCTTTACGTAATCATTTTCAGGATTCACACAAAGTGCAAGATTGCTTGGTAAGGTCCATGGAGTCGTTGTCCATGCAAGAAGTTCTAGATTTTCTTCACTATCATCAACCGAAAAGGCAACAACGACAGCGGGATCCTGAACATCCTTATAATTTTGCCCGGCTTCAAAATTAGATATTGGGGTAGAGCAAGCGGTGGAGAAAGGCATAACCTTAATACCACGGTAGACGAGACCTTTTTCGAAAAGTTCAGAAAAGACCCACCAAACTGATTCCATGAAAGTGGCGTACATTGTACGATAATCATTATCGAAATCAATCCATCGACCTAATCGTAATACCACATCGCGCCACTGCGACGAGTAACGCATAACAATCTCTCTACACTTGTCATTGTAAGCAGCAACACCCATAGCAGCTACATCAGCAGGACCCGTGATGCCGAGGGTTTTGTCAACTTCGTATTCAACTGGAAGACCATGGCAATCCCAACCAAAATGTCGATGTACATGATGGCCTTCACTGTAGGCGAACCGAGTTACTACATCTTTAATGGTTCCGGCAAGAATGTGACCATAATGAGGAAGGCCCGTTGCGAAAGGTGGACCATCAAAAAAAGAAAATCTGAAAATGCATGAATACATTTGAATACGCCAAAGAATTTAATGGTGCAAACGTAAATCAAATAACAAATTACAGTGGACGTTTTGAAGAAAGCTTATTAGATGTCTTAAATACGTCTATTTCGTTATGAAATTTCAATATTTTCTCTTCCTCTTCGGGAAAATTAATTGAGGGAGGGAGATCATCGCGGTCCATGTCTCACAGAGCTAAATGAAGTGCCGACACACGAGCGATATGGTTTTGGCTAATCAAAATGCAGCCTTGGAATTTTCGTGTGCGAGAGCCAGTATATATGCGAATTCGCACGTGGTCTAATGTTTGGAATTACGAATAAATGTGAGAAACTAAAGACACGCGCGAATAATGTGAAATGAATCAATCTTTAGCATTTTATATGCTGACTGATTAGAAATACAAGTGTATTTTTTTTGAACAGACAATTCGAACAAATTGTCAAACACTCAGTTAAAGTATATAATAACTCAAATCAGGCATAGATTAGAACCGCGATTTGCATTTCAGTCTAACTTATTCCAGTATAAATTTAAAAATGAAGAGAATTTCAAAGTTTTAAATCATATTAATCTTTATTCATTAAGTGTGAAACAAATAGTCTAATCTTAATTAGTTAATTTGTAGATTATTCCCAAAGAATTCACTTAAAGCGTAATATTTTTCAATGATTAACAGAATTTGACAAGTAAATGAAAGTATGTATTCGTTATTATTTGATTAAAGCAATTGATTTTTGATTTGTTTAAAAATCCCATCAATAAAGTGAGAATTAATATTTTTCATACCTGGCGATTATTAATGCCTAAGCACTTTTCATTACTAGTCAATTATCTTGGTTGTTATTTTTCCCAATACCCACTTAATTTTACCGCATTCGTGTTTCGTAATCTTCTGGACTGATGGTCTACTAACCATTTTTCTAAGCCCGTACGATTATTCCACATTTAGGGTCTTAATCTCATGAGGCTAACCAACTTAATGCACATTAAATTTATGCTTATAACAATATAATCATCTACTAAAATTGACAAATCAGCCCTTTGCCATAATATATTCAAACAGGTCCATTTAAAAATTGTATTTATAACATACAAAGAGCCAACTCAGACAGCCTATGAACGTAAAAATTCAAAAAATGGCATTATTTAGCTTATAAATAGATACTCTCTTTTCATTTTGCTACTTAAATTATTGTTATCTATTCAGTTAATGGGACATTCATTATCTTAGATAGAAAATTCACTTTGAAGATTATTCTTATTTAACCTGGTAGGCTTAAAATATACATAAAATATATTTTATCACCCACTTCTATGGCGTTAAATACTGGTAAAACATTTGTCGCAGTTTCAATATGCTAACCATGAAGCATATATTTTCTAATATGAAGTGTGCGATAGACCTACCTCCACGAAGTGCGCTCTGGTCTATAATTCGGCAGTTGACTTCTGATTTCGAACTCTTTAAGGCACGAAGTCAGGTAAAAGGCTAATGATAACTATCAAAAAGCCTGCCATTTTAAATAAATAAATATTTTCTAAAATCTAAAGTGGCGATTTATGTATTTGCACTTTTAAAGGCGTATTTTGCACTTTCGAATTTTAGTAATAATTTTTTATTCCTTAAAAATCAACATTTAGAACTAAAATCTTGCATACAATGACATTTATTTATTTCAAATGACATGCGTTTTGAAAGCTATCATTAGCCCTTTGGCTGACTTCGGTATTCACAGAGGGGAGAAATATCAAAGTGAAAAAAAATCGAGAGAGGAAAAGATAAATGATTCACAGACGTATGGGAGATAGACAAAAAGGTAGAGAAAAGGTGAGGTGAGTACTGTGAAAGTGGTCAAATATGACATAGAGTGGGGTCATGGTAGTTTGAAGTCAGGAGTCAATTTTTAGTTTATAGACTTTTTGCCGTACGAGTACACATTACCCTGGGTGTACCATGTGGAGGTAAGTCTATCACATACCCCTGTATATGATAACGTATTAGCCCAATAACACACTATTTGTCTATTCCATTAAGTCTAATCCGAAAACAAATGATACTAAAACGACATTATAAAGTGCGCAGGGAACATGGAAATGCTTCCATAGACGCATAGACAGGCTTATAGGGACTCTGCACCAAGCAGAGCAAGCATTTACGATTGGATTTAGGTCTTTAAAGAGGAAAGAGGGCAATTTGTTGACGAACCATGGGGAGGGAGACCAACCACAGCAAGAAATCAAGAAAAGATCTCTCATGTGGGGAATTTAGTGGAACAAAATGTACGCGTTACAATTGAGAAAAGTGCCAATGAAGTGAGGAAAGCACATGAATCAACATTTTCAACTCTCACTGAAAATCTTGGCTTGAGCAAGTTCTCGGTGGTCATGGTGGGATCCAAATACGTTACAGAAACAATAATTGATCCAAAGACAGAAACGAATGAGAATAATTTTTCCAGAGATGTGTTGCCGAAGATTTACGATTTTAGATGAAGAGAAATTAATGTAACTTCTTGGTGCCAGGGCAGCCCTTAAAATGTTGCCATTGGGATATTCACAGATGGAAATATGCCTTTCAAAAATGCATAGATACCAATGGAGCCGATGTAGGTAGATGAATGTAATAAAAAAATTTGTAAGTGTCCGAGAACTATTTGCATCAAATCCATTCCCTAAAAATCCCAAACTGACATTTCATACCACCATTCTAATGGCTTTAAAACCACATGGAAAACAAGACTACTATTTGCTAACAATTTTGACAAAAGTTTAAATTGCAAATTAGACGTGAAAAATAAATTCAATAAACGTCTGTTATTTAGGAACCTTAAGAAACAATCAAAACTTTTTTGAATTTAGCCACGTACGAGTTTTGACCTCAACTGCCCATCCTTTTAAAGGAAGAAAGCTATGTTTAGCCGTGTCATTACGACGGATAAATTTTAATCTTAATTTGCATAGTACTTAAACGGCTAAAAGGAAAAAGAAGGAAGCACTCTTTGCTTTCGCGTCAAATTGCATTTCTTGTTGGCTATTTTTATAATACCTCGACTATTAACATCATTCGAATTGGATTATTGTGAAATACTTACAAAAGTGCTCTCTCACTACTCATTTACTGAGCCAAATGTGAAATACTGGAAATTGGAAAATTAGATTAAGCATATTGGTCTGTATTTTCAATACACAAGAAAACTGTTTTCTTATTTTTTAAATTATCAACCTGTTCTTTGCTCCAAGTCTATATAAGCCATGGAAAATTATTTTACACTTATTTTTATAATTCGTTCATCGAAGACTGATGACGAAGTGACGTTGGGTTTAACCTATTTAGTTCGAAAGGGTTGGAAACTTGAGATTGTAGTGGGTCCGATAAAAGATGATTAGATAAAAGAAAATTAAATTGACCCGAAAATAAATAATTAACTGAATGTGTGTTATTTTCATACTTTTATTTCCATTTGTTTGAACCTGTTCCCTGAGATTACGGTGGTAGTATTCAGAAAATAGATCCCTGTTTGCTTCTAAGCAAGCACTCACATGTATTTTACTATCTAAATGCTTTTTCTCCCCGCTGCACACAAAAATGACTGAAACAGAGTTTTGCATAACTTAGGTCTTAACTGATCTTCTGCTTCTTTCGTGTCTACACATGTAATATCTATTAGCGAGGCAAGACAGCGTGCTTTTATTGGTAAATAAGCGAATATTCCCAAATAGAGGTAGTTTTATGGAAGAGTATTTTTCCCACACGTAGAAATTATGCGAAGCAAAACTGGTGCAGAGTGGTTCAAACTAATCTTTTCAATTCGATTAATTTTGCCGTTGGTAGCCTTCTCCTATTATTAACATAATGCACATATGCTAATGATGCCCTCAGTCCCTGTATCCTTTACTACATAATTAAAATCAAAAATTTCATAAGACTCTAAAGGCAGGTGAATTATAAATTAACATTAAAGTCAATGCACTTCTACACTACTCAATAATAGCAAATGCCTCGCCAGAAGCTAATAAAATTTAAATTATCAAGAATTAAAATGTTTGGCAAGAATTGATATTTTTATGCTTATGATGGTACTTTATAAATGACATATCAATAAATATTTGGCAAAGTTTAATGTATTTGAGCCAGTAATATCCTTATTTCTTACCTTCAAAGGTTCCAAAGAAATGATAAAAAGTTATAATAATTCAATTAAAAGTAATTTAGGCTCTTATGAAACTAAGTGGTGAATATTAATGTCGGTCAAGGGTGTTTAAAAAAGTCACGTTGGACGTTTTGACCTTGTGTGTGTCATAAGCGCGCTTTAGGAAGTTATTGTGTTCTGTATCGAGGTTTGAAGGAATCTAGTGCCGTTCATTTAGTTTAAAAAATTTTAATCATGAAGGATGCATTTGCTCACGATATTTGAGTTGATGCCATATATGTGGGGGATTGCATATCTTTGTTTTTTAATATTTTTCCATTTTAGATTTTGGGCTTCAAAATCTCATCTGAGTGACCAATGGTTGTGAAATACAAACACAGACTAAATAAATGTGTTCCGTGTAATTTGTCTTTTTACTCTATAGCTGAGCTAGTTCTGGTAGTCATTTCAAACATGGAAGAAGCTGCCATAAGTATTTTAAGTACAGTCGAGGCTTATTGGTGTAGCGAATCTGTTGCAAGTTGAAAAAAATTTTTGAACTAGTGATATTGATTTTTTTGCTAGTTTATAGCTAATTTCTTCCTAATACTAGATAAGATTAGGCTATTTCGGTCTGGATGTTTTCAAAATATTGCGATTATTTTTTATATACATTCTTGAATTTTAATACTTGATCATGAGCGTATAGGTATAATTAAAACCTTATTGGGTGTATGAGCTGGTTTTATAGGCTTAAGATTTAATTTAATGGGCGGTTAAAATGGCTAAAGCCTTATTATAAAGTTACTAGGTTTGTGGGACACTCCATCAATGACCAAATTGTAATCCTGCTATAGAATATTACTCAGAAATATTTACCTATTATGGTTCACCCGAATTATACTAGAGTTATCTGATAACTAACCACTTTGCTAACATTACACTTCGCTATCAATATACGTACTGAATAAACGTATTCCGCGCTACACGTCCGTTTCCCCTATAGCTGGGCTATAGATTAGCTTGTTCTGGGAGTCTAGCTAGATGTTGG